GTTCGCAAAAACAACTAATGTAACTTGGGTTTAAGTTTAAATTTAAAAAAAAAAACGGGAGGTGGGCAGAATGCAAGCACCTCTTCTCACATGTTACGTTGCTAGTTTTCAAGAGAAGGTTGGTCATGTGATACTCAGGGATGTAAATACTGTGCAAAATGCATCTTACATGAAAATCAAGTATTTAAAGCAGGCAAAGCAAAAAAAAAAAGCAGAGAAGCAAAGAAACAGGAAACGCACAAAAGCAAAACAGCAGAAAGGCAAAGAAGCAGGAAACGCAGAAAAGCAGAGAAGCAGGAAAAGCAGGAAAAGCAGAGAAGCAAAGAAACAGGAAAAACAGAAAAGCAAAAAAGCAGAAAAGCAGAGAAGCAGGAGAAGCAGAAAAGCAAAAAAGCAGAAAAGGCGAGAAGCAGGAGAAGCAGAAAAGCAAAAAAGCAGAAAAGCAGAGAAGCAGGAAAGCAGGAAAAGCAGGAAAAGCAGAGAAGCAGGAAAAGCAGGAAAAGCAGAGAAGCAGGAATCCAAAAATAATTCCTAAACCTGATCAAAAAAAAAATCCTAAAATAATTAGCCCTCCATACTCGAACGTCTCGAGGATACTGAAGATGACCTTTCCCGACACCCAGTTCAGATCTTCTCGGCGGCAGATTTGGCTCACCTTGCCAGTCATTTGGCGGAATCTACACGGACTTTGTCGAACCAAGCACGTCGCATGGAGGCATTACCTGACGAGGGCCTGTGAGCTTTAGGATTAATTCAATTGATGATTCTTCCCTGTATTTTGAAACCATTTCCGCTTCAGGGATCGGATAATAGCCTTCACCGCTTGCGAATCTGAGCAAAAGCCTCGCGGCAGCGAGGCGTGTGTGTGAACCATCTGCACAGATGTAAAACTTCTTTTGGTTGCTGGTTCTTGTTTTTCTTGTTTCTACATGATGTTTGCAGGGGGCACCTGAAGCATGGTAGGTCAGGTGCCAACGAAGACACCTATCCAATGCTTGTGATATCACGGCTGATCACCGTGACGTACCTGCCAATTTTTTTCAGAAATGGGAAGAGGCTCAACCCAAGAACCTCCATGTCGTTCATTTGAAATTTCTTTTTACTGCACTGTTGTCGCAATCTGGAATTACTTTCGATCGACCAACTATGTATGGTTCGGCTACATCGGAACCTTCCTCAGAGCAAGGACGTAGAAAGCACACTTCGAACTGAATCTCACGATGGATCAACCTTTTTTCTCCTGTCAGACTTTAGGGGATTGTTTGTGCACGCCCGATGCACTCCACAACAGTAATTCGATAAGATATTTCTGAGCAAGTGTGTGATATGTATATAATATCTATTTATCTATCCATCCATCCATCCATCCATCTATCCATCTATCCATCTATGTCAAAATTCCCGGGGAGATGATGGAATCTCCGCGGGTTTGGCCTGCCCCGCCTCCCCATTCGACAAAAATATCTTTAGATATCTTTAGATTTTTCTGAGGAAACATGGCGAAAACAGGGGTAGGGGCGGGACCTAAAAATGTCACATGGTACGCGGAGCATGCTAAGTTACATAAATTTGGAGTGTGGAGGGGGGGTTGAAAAATGTATGTTGTCCACAAGGCGCCTGTCCAGCTTACATTTCAAGACTCAAGCCTAGGAAAACCATGTCTTGGACCCACGCGGGGGTGGTACAACACATTTGTTTGACCCCCCCGCTCCCCCTTGAAAAATGTAAGTTACATGTTTTTCGCTCAGGGGGTGGAGATGTTATTGCATGAAAAGATCTTGAATTGATGTGATTTAGCATGATGTAGTGTGACTTAATGTGACTTGATGTGACTTGTGCATGATTTGTGCATCCTGTGCATCCACCTGCATTTTGCAGGCTGCCATGCCAGGCTGCAGGGACTCTCTACCAGTCCTCACCTTTCAACCGAAATCCTTTGCTGCGCAGCATCTCTGGCAGCTGGTTGTAGCCTGTCAGACTGAAATGAACTCAGTCACATCTCAGGTTGTCTCCAGCCACGTGAAAGTGTTTGACCCGAAAGTGTGGCAAAGCGTCCATCTCCATGCAGCAAAGTCTCTGTAATGAGTGAGGTCAATTCTGTCCTGAATCTCAACATGAACAAGTCAAAAGGCCCAGGTGAAAGCAGAGTTCAAGGAAGTGATGCAGCAAAGCCATGCATGTCTCGCGATTTCATGATTGAGAGGCACAAAATGGCACAACACAAATATGAATTGGTTTTGGTATTTGGATTTGGAGCAATCCAGAAAAGCTCGCCACTACAATGTCTTCAAATGGATCATAATGGATCTGGGTTGGGCATTGAAGCTGATGTTGAAGCGCAGGCTTGGCTTTGAAATTGTGTTGTCCAGGCAGAATAATCCAGGAAAGAAAGAGTGTGACTCTGCAATCTACTGAAATACCAATCCTTTGGGGATGAGGCTACAACCAATGGCAGGGAGAGAGACAAACAGTTTCCTCAGTCACGATTAAGGACAGGAAGGTGGGAAAGCGCAATAGAGGAAAGATAGGAAAGTCATAACTTCATAACACACTCTATACCAATCAGAGTAGCACGGCCATTCTTGCAGGACAAGTCCTTTTCGTGACCATTGTCGTCAAGCACAATGAGGTCCGGATTGTGGCCCTGCACCCACTGTACCTGAAAAGGTGGGCTTGACAGGCTCGCCGGATCTCGCCGGGCTCCCGCTGTACCCACGCCTCACGGGCACCCAGGCGCACGTCGAGATTCTGCCATTCATTCCAGCGCTCTTCATCCCTCAGCCATCTTCGGACATCAGCGAAATGGTTTAACCTCAACTGCCGTGATGCCAGCATGCCATGTGATGGCAACATATGGCAACATATTTCAACATCGCTATGACACTGTGGCTCCAGTGTGGCTCCAGTGTGGCTCCAGTGTGGCTCCAGTGTGGCTCCAGTGTGGCTCCAGTGTGGCTCCAGTGTGGCTCCAGTGTGGCTCCAGGCCCCGGACTTTCAGCCTTGGCAAGAGATGATATTGCCCCGCGCGGCTGGTTTCATAAGACCTGAGTGCACTGAGATTATCTGTACTGAGCACAGAACTGACGAGCTGCCTGAAAAATGCTGGTTGGTTCAAAGTTGGTTCAGCCATTTCAGCCATGTCAGTTTTTTTCCTAGCATCTGACAATATCTGACATCCGAGGGCCAAGGATGCCAAGGGGCTGTTAATATCAACAACTTTGCAGGTGCGGTCCTGCAGCTGAGTTGCCAAGAGTGTTAGGAGTAAGAACAGCTGTTTGATGCTGTTTGAGATTGCAGTGTGACTCAGTATGACTCGGTATGAGGCAAACTACAATAATTGCTTAAAACTTGTAAAGCGTTTGGCAGTTGCAGCAACTGGAAAAGCGAGTATTGGTTTTAAATATAGTTTATAGTTAATGATTTCAAAGTATATATGTTAAGAATTGTAAAAAGATGTCAGAGTGTGAACTTTGTAAACGTGAAAAAAGGTGCGTCTTCCATCCTGTTCATCCTCGATTTCAGACCAGGTTAATCTATCTCCTTCAGTTCCATGCGAACAAATGTTTTCACACTGGTCCTCACAGTTCCCTTCCGCATCACATGACTGTGCGCCACAGCCTTTGCCAGTGGAAGCCTGCCTCAGAACAAGCCATGGAAAACGAATGACAAACCACGATGGAAACAAGATAAAAAATATATATAAAACAATGAGCAATGTAAGCAATGTTATGACATTATTGGAATGATATACACCCCATAACATGATCCATTCTTGAAACCCAATTCTATCTGAGTTTGGTTGCAAAGCTCTGCCTGACCAAAACGTGAACAATCCACTTCACAAATATGCATCAGTTCGTGGTGCTTTGAGCATGTGTGCGCGTGTGTGGCTTGTCTGGAATTCACTGGCTGAATCATGAGTTTAGCGAAGCATAGCGAAGCATCATACTGTAGATGCACACACTTCATCACATCATCCGGAAGGGTACTGTAAGCGATGTAAGCGCTTGGCACACACGCTGCGATGGCAAGGACCCACAAGAACTCCTGGTGACCAAGTGACCATTGCAGATTCTCATGCCAAATCCTTAAAATTGAAGAGAATGAGGAAGGCTGAGCTGCAGAGAATGTGGAAAACAAAGGACAAGGAGATACAAAGAGCACAAATATGGTCAAACATTGCCATGGTCCATCCGTTTGAAGCCAAGGCTGAAGGGCACCCGGAATCACCCGGAATTCCGAGCCTTCAGAACAGCCATCGCCTTGAAGGGGTGAGGTTGACTGTGCAGTGAATGCAATGTGGTATGATAATGATTTGATGGCACACCATATGATCGATATGATGCTATAAATTAATAAATTATAAAGATGCGAAAATGTGAAAATTGTATAAAATTGTGAACATTGTGAAATAGAGCGTGAACTCAGTCACTGAACTCGAGGGTGAAATCTGACGAAAATTGTGGTTCGCTCAGTTCGACAAGATTGACACAAGACAGAAGGCCTCACAAGACCATACAAGACCATACAAGTAATATCAAGTAATACAAGACCAAAAACTGGCACAGAGTCGGCACAGAGGTACCCTGGAGGTACCAGATTACCAGGCCCTGGGGCCGGGCACGGAGCCAGCGGGGCCAGCGGGGCCAACGAATCTAACTCTTCCCTTCGAGCAAAGGTGGACACGGTGGACACTACACAAGTTACACATAGTTACACCATGTTACACCTAGTTACACCATGTTACACCTTTTACTTTACACAACAGAATCTGAAAGGCGTCCCAAGAAGGCAATTCATGCAATTCATAGTAAATTTTAAAACCTTAAAGGCAAGATGTGCAAGTGTGTATGAACATAAAGCAAAGAAAATGGATCGAAGATGGATCTGAACTCCACATCCTACGAAATTCCGCAAGTCTGCGGCATTGCTCAAATCGAAGTGGCTTACAACTTGCAGCATCATCTTTTCATAGTTTCTCTCGTTTTTTTCAACGTTACCTCATGTTACCTCATGTTTCCTCCTCGTGTTGCCTCATGTCAGTGATGTGTCGGCTCTGTATCTGCACATTTGCATTTCTAGAAGTCCGGCGCATCGGTGGATGGGCGCTGATACTTTCGGTGTGCAAACCACTGCGCACGCGAACGGCTACCTGCAAGAACTCTTTGGTTCCACTCATCTGACAGATTCTCGCAGTACCATTGGTAGAGCAGTTGCATGTATCTACAGTCATGAGCAGCATAAACAAGAAGGTCAGGAAGCAGTGGTCTTTGTTGAAACACTTCGTAGCGTCCACCGTGGTCAGGCTCAAAGAGCTGCTTCCCCGTTTTGTTGATGAAGTCCGCAAAAGTCTTTTGCATTCGGCCCAAGCGATCGCAGCTTGTCAAACACTTCTGCAAGCTCGGTACGAAGTTCACCTGCAAGCCTTTTGCTCTCCGTACTGCCACGTCTGCTAGTTGCAAATCGAAGACATGTTGGGACACAATGCCGAACTGATGATATAAGGCATCAACATCATTGCGGGGGTCAAACCAAATCTTCAGAAGTGCAGGGTCTTCCAAGATCGCTTTTAGAGAAGTGCCACTTGGAGTTGCAAAGTGCATTGCTAGAGGCAAAACGTAAACATCCAGCATGTACACACAACTGGGCATGTCGCTGAGGGTAATCTGAACTAAACAGAGTTGACCTGAGCGATTTAGCTTGACACCTTCGAAGTCAACTGCCACCAGCAAGTCCGCCTTGTGAAGTCTCTCCACGTGCAGCAACATCACCAGTAAGCTACCATACGAATCAATCAAATTAATTCTAAATGGAGACTGCTGGAAAATGTCTCCGCATGTTTCATGCTCAAGCAGGTGGTGCCACACATGATTAGCCTCTGACTTGAACTCAACGGTAAAGTAACGACAGAATTGCATGATCATCGACATGACAAGTCCAAGACTTGATCCGGTTCTATCGGTTCTATCGGTTCTTTGCTCTGGTGTAAGTTCGAAAGCAACTTGGACAACCTTCGCTCGGCAGTGCTCCAGTTGCTTGACCAGGTGGGACAGCAGCATGGCTGGGTGCTCAGCCAAATCCGACGACTCAGACAGCACAGCCAAGGCACTAGCAAAGCAAGAAAACTCTGATCCCAGTAACTGCAGGACCACCTGATAAATGAAATCTCTCATGACACTTTGAGCCCTCACGGAAGTGACTGGCACCTGTAGTGTTTGAGGCGTTGCGATATGATTTTGTAATCTGGCATGACAAACCGTCAAGGCGTTGGTTTGGAGGGGTACAAGTGCGTCCAATGATCGTATCCTCAGGCTGATCCATTGAGCAAATCCGAAGAGGACTTGGCGCTTCAAATGCTCTGGTACTATCTCATGCCCCAGCCATTGGTCAATCTGGGTTCCATCGGGTAGCTTGTTGCTGAGGAGGAAAGTTAGAAAGCTTTGCGTGGATTCTGAATGTTCCTCAAATCCATTTTCCAGGAACACTTGTAGCACCTGTCCAGACAGCTGCCGCAGCAAGTCATAGGACTGGGCACGTTGCGCCATTGCCGTTGAAACAACATTGATTGCAAAGCTCCATCGCAAGTGCTGAAATTCCACAACCAGAACAGTTGTTGTATTCACGCTCATCTACCTCTCTCTGTGTATAACTGTGTCTAAACATCTGTTTGCGCAAATGTATCTCTATTTTGTCTTGTTTGTGTGTGTGCGTGTTTCCGTCGGAACCTCTTGAAGCTGAGACTGTTCTATGTATGTTTCTCAGTCCCTTTGTTCCGTCTTGAATGCTGCGGATGGAAGGTAGAATGAAGCGCAGCGCAAAATGGACACCAGGGTCACCGGTGACAAGAACATTTCCGATGGCGAGCACAAATTTCAATTGCTTTATGATCTGTGTCACAATACTACCAGTCCATGCAAATCTTCCTAGGTTATAGATTCATTGTGACTTACGGTGACATACGTACTCAGGAAGAAGAAACATCAAACCATCAAAACACAAAGCAAGGCAAAGCAAGACGCAACAGAAATCATGCTAAGGCTGACTTCAGGCGATAGAGTTGTGGTCAATGACCACCTCACAACATCCTCCACGGTCCAGTCATCAAGCCTGTGCCAACGGCCAAACATTGCCAACCTATCCGGCGTATTCCGACGTTCGGTTTGCCATGCCATGCCATTCCAGGGCTCGTGTTTTGCTCAAGACCTGGGGATCAAATTTGCTACGAGCTTGGATCACACCCGACCAGGCCGAACTGTGGCAAAGCGTCTCTTACCAAATCCATTTGCAAGACTTGCAGGGCAAGGAACCATCCGTAGCTTTTTCGCTTTTGTATATATTGTATCATACTGTATCTATCTCCATTGATGTCATATTTCGACACATCAAACCTGTTATTTTGTTTCGAAAAAGCTCCTGTGTCTTGACCAGTTTCCTTGCAGTCCCGAAGTCCCTCGAACTCCAACATTTAAATCTCAAGATTTGAACGATTATAAATGGATGCAAATGGATGTAAAATTACTGTAAATGGATATAAGTATACTTGATTGAAATGGATGTGAGATTGATGTAAAATATGTACATATGAAGTACATGTAAATGGATGTAGATGGATGTAAATGGTAGTTCATGGCAGTTTCAATCTCAGTGCAATGCTGCATAGCCGCCTCGGCTTGGAATACCTTGGCGTACAGTCACAACATTCTCTGTCTCTCTTTGTCTTTCTCTCTCTCTCTCTCTCCCTCCATCTTCGGTGATCATTTCCTCTGTAAAAAGTTCAGCTTCACGGTCTGCTAGGCCCTGCTAGGCTGGTCGCCACCACTCCCCAAGAGGACTCTTTCCCTTTTGTTCCCGCAATTGTTTGATCTGTTCACACTCCGGCGGCTGGTTCGTGAGGAAGATTAGTTTGAGAAACAGGAATGTAATATCTATATCTATATCTATATATATATAATATACATATGTATCTACAGTGTGCGCCGTAGTATGATGTAGCATGGTGTAGTATGATATGTATGATATGTATGATGTAGTGTGTGTGTGTCATATCTATCATCATCCATTTCTTTGCAGCATGCTGTGCATTTCAAGGCAACACGTGCTCGAGATGCTCGAGTCTTGCTCAGAGCGATGCAAATGGCTTGAGAACATCACGGAGGTGAGCACACCGGGTGGCAGTGAGACCAGCCACATTCAGTGGCTCTGGATTTCTGGCCTGGCAAAAGCATCAAGACTCTACCACAACCATAGCTGTAGCAATAACAAACATAAACAAACGCTTCAAATCTACCTTGCAGCTAGGACAGCTATGAGATCGAATCTTCTGAAAGTTTGTCATGCCATGAGGTAAGGCGGCTGAGCCACCTGGGCCGTGCTGCGTCTTTGACTAAGCACCGCACATGCAATCTTCGGCGTGAACGTCTTGCCCATGGTCATGGTCGTAACGAGCAAAAAAAGATGGAAAGAACATGGAAAAACCAATGGTCACCAAGTGTCACGTACATCACAACCACTTAAAGCCAGCGAAAAGTGAAAACCTCAAAAAATGAAAGAGTTTGGAACAAATATATACATACGAATGACCAGAGCTACAAGGGCAGTGTAATGCCCTAGTGACGCAACAACCAAAATGTGGATTTGAAAATGCACGTGCTTGCCTTTGGCGAGAACGTGCAAACTCAACGTGGTCGAAACAGTTTGGCGATTTACAATTTACGATTTGGATCGATTTTGATCGATTTGGTATGCATTCAGGATGCGTTTTTGTGCTGCGTTGTGCAGTGGCGCGGCTCGACACAGCTCGACTTCATGCTGAGCCCGGTATCAAGTGTCGATAGCCAGGCCAGTCGGAAGGTGCTTCAAAGTGATACCTGGAGCTGTGGAAAGTCATGGAAAGTCAGAGGCAGATTCAGTCAGATTCAAGTCGACAAGATTCGACAAGGCACATGAAGCCCTTGGGATATCTTGGGATATCTTGGGATCCTGTGCGTGATACTGTGCCATGTCCACTTCCCCTGTTTGCAAATCGATTTTCCTTTCAAACGTACGATGCTGAGTAAAAAATGATTGCGTCCCCGGCATCCCCATCTTTTATGCATCGTGCTTTTCACATTGAACCAAAATCATGTTCAAAAAGCAAGATATGCAGGGGGGTCATAACCTCACTTAGCTTACACTTGGTGGCTGTTGGTGAAAAATCCACATCCCCTCCATGACCTCCATGTATTCTTATGGTCTTGGAAGGAACTGCACCAATAACTTGAGCTGAGATGAATATGCTTCTGTTTCCTTGGGGGGTCTTTACCTTGCTGCAGCTGGATAGTCATGACTCCCCATGCCTTTCCATCCATCCAACCGTCCATACGTACACACATTACATTACATTACATTAAATTACATTAGATTAGATTACATTAGATTACATTAGAATACATTAGATTGCATTACATTACATTACCTTACGTTACATTACATTATTTTGCGTTGCGTTGTGTTATGTTACGTTGCAAGACATTAATTGCTTTGGATTGAATTACATTGCATTTCATTACACTACATTACAGTACGTTACGTTACATTCCATTCCAATTTCAGTACATTAAATTATATACATTACGTTACATACATACATTCATTCATCATAATTATACATAATCATACTATATCATACTATATCATACTATATGCATATATACTAGAAACAGACATTTCTAGGTGTCACCAAAAGACTATACTACTGGTCCGACTGTACATTACATCCCATGAAGAGTGCTACGCTGGTACCCCTATGTCGCTTCCCTGGTCCTGTACACATTTACTTCGCCACATCCAAAAACGGAAATGACTCTAGAGCCAGTGCAGGAATTAGGACCTGGCAAGTCGTATACCTGCCTTCCGGGATGCCAAAATGAAAGTTGTTTCTGAACAGGCCCAGTCAAAAGTCGCCAAAATAAAGTGTGGATGTATGCATATAATATAATAGAATAGAATAGAATAGGAAAAA